AGTCATTGTGTTTCCAGAACTAGACTGGCCTTTAAAGACTTGAAACACAAATATAAAAGTTTGTTTAGCATAGTTCAGCTAACATGTATAACATGTTACGCGAACATGTAAATGTATTTTCACAAAAGCCAGTTTACAGATTATGACTTATTATGAAAGATTTTGGAAAGACTTGTTTTATAAAGCATGCTAACTATGCTACAATAAGACACAGGTCTTCTAGATTATCTGTCATAAAGACAATTTATTTTCCAATTTTCTATGCGGCCCTTTGATTTCTTTAAATGTCTTGATGTGGCCCTTTGGAAAAAAAAATTGTTGCCCACTTCTGCCTCTTCACTCAGTTTAAAACTGTTTATATTTTTAAGAATGGAGGCTATTTGAAAAAAATACATCAAGATATTTAAGGTATTTATCATCAAAAAGGGATGCTCATTTTAAAAGTTGTTTGATGGAAAAGATGATTTGATATAAAGCACCTTGGTGTTCAGTAACTTGTGGTGACTAGATTATAATCCAGTGTTGCAGGTTTTAAATTCTAAGTATATTTTTGTTGCTTTCAGAGAGGAACTGATTTTTGTCTCCCTTGATGTTTATTGAGTTTTTTTCTGTCTTTTTTTTTTTTATCTGTGATATCTTGTTGCTACTGTAGCATTTGATTTTTCCCCAACTGGAGTGCCTATAAAGTATTATCTTATTCCTTATGTTTAAATACCGGTACACAAAAGATACAACTTTTGACTTGAACAAAGTTGGGACATTGTCCATCCATCCATCCATCCATCCATCCATCCATCCATCCATCCATCCATCCATCCATCCATTATCTTTACCCGTTTATTCCATTTTGGGTCACGGGGGTCGCCAGTGCCCATGTCCAGCAATCACTGTGCGAGGGGCGGGGTACACCCTGGACGGGTCACAAGTCTATCACAGGGACACATAGAGACAAACGAGACAAACAACCATTCACTCTCTCAATCACACCTAGGGACAATTTAGAGTTACCAATCAGTCTAACATGCATGTTTTTGGTCTGTGGGAGGAAACCGGAGCACCCGGAGAAAACCCACGCATGCACGGAGAGAACATGCAAACTCCACCCAGAAAGGCCCCTGGACCGGGATTTGAACCAGGGACCTGCTCGCTGAGAGGCAGCAGCTCTACCAGTTGCGCCACCGTGCTGCCCGTTGGGACATTGTGTAAAATGTAAATAATGAAATGCAATGATGTGCAAATCACATAAACCCATATTTAATTCACAACGGAACACAGAAAAGAAAACATTTAAATAAATATTAAATTGAATATTTTATCCAAGAAAAAAAAGGAGAAATGTTTTTAAACAGTCATAGGTTTGGACTGCAGACAGACCAGTTCAGCACCTGGACTCTTCTGCTACATGTTGCTGTAATAGATGCTGGATGTGGTTTGTTTTGCTGAAATAATGCTGTCCCTGAAAAAGACATGGTGGTGCTTTTCCAAAATGTAACCTGCCCATGTCAGTAGCACTAATGCTCCCCCATACCATCAGAGAGGGAGGAATTGATAACAGGCCAGATGTCTTCTCTTCTTTTTAGTATGGAGGATGGTGTGTTTTTGGTTTCCAAAAAGAACTTAAAAGATTGATTTGTCTGATTTGTGGTCTTTATATTTTTTCAGATTCTTGAAATACTTTAATGGGCAGCACGGTGGTGCAACTGGTAGAGCTGCTGCCTCTCAGCAAGCAAGTCCTTGGTTCAAATCCCGGTCCAGGGGCCTTTCTGGGTGGAGTTTGCATGTTCTCTCCGTGTATGCGTGGGTTTTCTCCAGTTACCCCGGTTTCCTCTCACAGACCAAAAACATGTATGTTAGGCTGATTGGTAACTCTAAATTGTCCATTGGTGTGAGAGAGTGAATGGTTGTTTGTCTCTATGTGTCCCTGTGATGGACTTGCGACCCGTACAGAGTGTACCCCGCCCCTCGCACAGTGATTGCTGGACATGGGCACCTGAGACCCCCGTGACCCAAAATGGAAGAAGTGGGTAAAAGATAATGGATGGATGGATGGATCATTATTCCAAAACATTTATAACACTTTTAGACAATCTTTTTCAGTTTAATGAACCCATCCCATCATAAACTTCTGATTACATCAGTCTCTAAAATGCTTTTTATCTGTTGACAACCAAATAAGTTGCAAAACGCTCCTCCAGCTGTTTCCTTTTGTTCCACTTTTTTTTACAGTCTTTTCAGGTTTGGTTTATTTGTCATATGCAAAAATCAACACAAGGTCAACAATGCAATGAAACGCTGAGGATGAGAAGAACTGTCTCGACTCACCAAAAAATGAAACAACAACAAGAAATACCAAATCATGCAGCAAAACTACAAAAAACAAGGCGCCATAAACTAAAAAGAAATACATCTACAGAGATGTTCTTTCAGCAGCATGGTTCTGTTCTGTTAGCGGCGTGGTCTTGTTAGCAGGTCCTGCTAGCAGCTTGACAGTACAGCAGCAGCTGTCCTCATAGACTGCCCTCTAGAACCAGGTCCAGCAGACAGAGAACATTCAAGGTTTTCCCAGTGGAGCCGAACAAGTCCGTAGAGTTTGGTCTGTGCAGGCAGGTGGAGAATCATGGAGACAGCCACCATGCCTGAGCCCTAGGGTCCAAGTTGGCCCCCGTCCCATTTTGTTTAGATGGGCTGTTGTCATGAAATTTAAAATTGCTTATTTTTTCCATAAAAGGTACATTTTTTTAAAGTGAAAACTTTTGACATGTTTGCTATGTTCCTTTGTGAATACAATATGGGTTTATGAGATTTGCAAATGATTACATTCAATATTTATTTACATTTTACTCAATGTGTCAACATGGTTTAATTGAGGTTCAAGTTCAACTTCATTTATTGTCATTTGCATCACATGTGGTACAGGAAGTGGAAAGAAATTGTGTTCTCAGCGTCCCAGTTACACCCAAAAATAATAAAAATATAAAGTATAAAAATAAACAGTATATAAGGATCTAAGAAATACACTAAGATATATGCTAAACAATACACTAAAAGATCTAAGATATACACTAAACACTAATAATGTAAAACAAAACGATATATTAAACAACAACTGAAACATGAGTCTGTAGTGAGTAGATGGGTATGAATGAACACAGCAGCATGAAATCAGCAGCATGAGATCAGCAGCACAGTTAAGTCACATATCACCAGTTAAATGTATGGGTTAAAAGGGTTATTAAATGAGTTGTGCATGGTCTGTCTCTTTAATCTATAAATATATATATTTATTTATTCTATAGAACAGGTAGGGATGTATAAATATCTTTGTGTGAACTGTCCAAAGTCTATAAACCCAAGTTAAACCCTAATATATAACAGAATAGGAGCTGCTCGACACAGTGATCAGACCTTTTCAGAGTGATCTGTTGCAGCAGAACACTAATGGGTCTCTTTCGTTTTTACACAGGATCTATCCTGAATCTACCAGATCTGCAGTGTGTCACCAGTTTTGAAATGAACCTCCACGGACTGCTCTGTGTTTCTGAAGGAACTATAAAGACCAACAGCAGCATGTTGACTCCTCCAACTTCCAGGCAGCTCATCTCTAAATCAGGCTCTGACTCACAGCTGAAGAGGATTTTAGTTTTGACTAAATAAACCTGTTTATTTGAACATGTATCTGACCCAATTCACCTGTCTTTGAACCGTCACCAAGACATTAAATGGTTAAACCTGTTGCACACAGGTGAATGTTTCTCTGTGGTGTGATTGAGGGCGTAGCGCAACCTTGGATCCACAGTGGAACCACAATGCACCGGGGCACCCGGCCTTCGGGCGGGAGAAGCTCCACACCAGCAACTACTCCCTTGTGATACTGATTCAGCTCAGCCTGCTCACCTTTGACCTGTTTGTCAACTCCTTTAGCGAGCTGCTGAGGACTGAACCGGCTGTGCAGTTGGTACTTTTCATGTGAGTCAAACTTTTCTCACCGTCTTGGCATTTTAAAGTCTGCTTCAGCTCGAGGGTGAAACACTGCCGAGTTAAAAATAGCATGAGGCCGACATGAATTAAACATCAAATGTTAACTTGCTGTTTATAAAATGTTCACTTCTGCTGCTCGTACTTGTCTCTTCACCAGCATCCAGGACATTTGCATCTTGTTCAACCTGATCATCGTCCTGCTGATGCTGTTCAACACCTACGTGTTTCAGGTTGGCCTGGTGGCCATTTTGCTGGAGCGGTTTAGAGCCCTGCTGATGCTTTCTGCTCTCTACCTGACCTTCAGTATCATCCTCCACTGCTGGCTTGTGGTAAATACAAGCCTTTCCCCCTTCCCTTCAGCATATTTGTATAAAAATGTTAAAGTTCTGCATTTTAAAACTTCTGAGTGAATATTGTTCATTTATTCTGTCTAGAAGAAACCTATTTAAACTTTGTATTAAAGGGATCCATTAGTTGAACATGTTGGACTAAATATGTTGTATTTTTCCTATTAACTTAAAAAATGCTGTTTGATATGTAAAAGCTCATAATTACTTCAAAAACTTTACATATTTTGTTATATTTTTCACCCATGGAGGTCGCCATTTTTTCACCTGTGCAATGCATGCTGGGTTGATGACATGGTTAGGTCCATTCTGTATTGGAATCTACAGAATAAACACAGGAAGGCTAACATTACCCGAGTTGTTTTTATGATATTGCGTTTGTAAATTTAGATAATGCCACACTGTGTCGCTGTTGGCTGTAATTTCAAAACAGAAAAAGGCAGAAATAGTGAGGTGAGTGTGCACCGCTTCCCACATGAAATTTTTTTTTTGAGCGCATTGGGAAAAAGCTGTCAAAAGAATTAAACTTCTGAAGGACCCACATTTGTGCTCTCAGCTCTTGTCTCCAGAAGACTTTGAAAGAGCTAAGTGGTCGTTACCTGGGAAAGCTAAAATCAAACGCCGTGTCGACAATTTTTAACCACAAAGCACCTAAACCCTGCCGCCGGCTAGCAAGTGAAAGATGCTGCTCTTGCCGAGGTCGGATGCTTTTCCCCTCCCTCTCCGCTTTGCTTTGCTGCTCTCTCTGTGAAACTGCTTCTGAGCCTCTCTTGCATATCTTCTGAACCATAATTATGGACTTGATCAATTGATAAAATTTCTTTGAAGAGAAGACAGGCTTTAGGCGAGCCGACTGCCCTTTTGGCACACACGCAGCTCTATCTCATCGACTTGAAGACTTGATGATGTCTATCTCTGCTGCCATTTGTGGATTTTAAGGACACATATTTAATTGGATTTACGATAACTGGTTCCTGCTTTTTGGATTCAGCTGGTTGCTGGTTTTATCTACAATCAAGGAAGTCGTCGGCAGCAAAATGGGACCCGATCACGCTGCTTGCCTTTATCAATCAATCAACCTTTATTTAGACAGGTAAATCCCATTGAGCCTCGAGGACTCATTTACAAGAGAGACCTGATTTAAACAAAGAAAGATGACAACAATGGACAACAGCGACAACAATAAACAGTTATAAAAAGTCATACTGCAGTTTTTTTTTTTTTTTTTTACAAATAGGATGGCTAAAAGGAAAAGGTAACAAAAAAACAAAAAAAAACCCAGCTAGATTCTAAGGCAAATGTAGAAAACTAAAAACAGGAACATGTCTGCATTGGTCCCTGCCATGAGTCCAACAGATTCTTAAAGCCACTTAGAGAGGTCAAGGTCAAGAGCTTCAAATCTTTTTGTAAGATATTCCAGGAAACAGGAGCGGAGTAGGAGAAGGCCCTTTTGCCAAGTTCAGTCCTCATTGAGGGAACACTGCAGGTAATAATGTCCTGAGAGCGCACTCCGTAGCTGCACTCACGCAGAGACATGTAGGAGGAGATGTATGAAGGCAGCAGACCAAGAAGCGATTTAAAGATGAAAATGTACCAGTGAGAGAGTCTGCGTGAAGTTAATGATGTCCAGTTAACCAGTGAATACAGGGAGCAGTGGTGGGTACGATAATCACAGCCAGTTATGAATCTTAGTGCACCATGATAGACAGCATCCAACATCTGCAGGGTTCTTGTAGGAGCATTCATGTAAATAATGTCACCATAATCAATGGAGGGAAGGAAAGTCACAGATACAAGGTGTTTTCTAGCATTTAGGGTTAGACAGGATCTGCTTCTGAAAAAGAAACCCAGTTTAACTTTCAGTTTCTTTACCAAGTTTTCCACATGGAGCTTAAAAGAGAGATGTGAGTCGACCAAGATACCCAAATATTTATAGGAATCAACAAACTCAATGGGGACACCATTTGAGGATAAAATTGGAGGAAGAACTGCTGGGACCAACTTCCTATTTGAAAAAAAGCATCCCTTTGGTTTTGTCGGCATTTAGGACAAGTTTGAGGCGGAACAAATCTGTCTGGATGTTGTTGAATGCAGAATTCAAAAGCTGGAAAGCCTTAGCAACAGTTTTAGCTGGACAATAAACAACTGTGTCATCAGCATAGAAATGTATGGATGCATTAGGGATGTTTTTACCTACATTATGTATGTAGATTGTAAAGAGGGTGGGTCCTAAGACTGAGCCTTGTGGTACACCATTGTTGACTGTTAAATAACTGGAGGAAGTACCATTATGTTGAACACATTGCCTCCGGTCTGAAAGATAGTTAGAGAACCAACCAATGGTGTGTTCTGAGAAATATGATGGCTTGTTTCATGCCTCGAGTACCCACACTCAAATGCTTTGGGTAAAATGGATCAGATCTCGGGAATTTACGTTCCATCAGATCTCACTGGAGGAAACTGGCTGATTATTCCATCCTTATCAGAACTCTTACAGTGCCCTCAAGAGCGTCCATGGACATTGCTCACTGCTCTCGTCATCTCCCCCCTCTGCAGAATGTTTATATCACTATGTGCTTGTTTGTGTGAGGTGTTTTTTAATATTAGAGTTTTTCTTCTCAGCCAAGAAGAAAGAGTCTGATAGGATTTTTTTTGCCTCCAATTCCTATAAGTGTCCAGTTTCACTACTTTTTGTCTGGCTAAACAGATCTCACTTGTAAATTAGTCTTCTAGGCTCAATGTGACTTATCTGTAAAGGTTGAATGAAAAAGAATCAGAGACAGGCAACGCTGGAAGCTCTGGCTATTCACACTGTCGCTGGTACCAAATATAAGATCACGGATCCGACACCAGACCAAAGACCAGACCCTATACAGATGCTACTGGACCTGACACTAGACACAGAGCATGCCATCTACTCACCGAATCACACAGTCCGACCAGCGGTACATGTTCATCCATCATTTAATTTATGAAGCTGATGTTTGCTTCCGATTTTGGAAATGGCTAAAGGGCGATTCCAGCTAATTTTTCCACTACCTTAAGTGTCTTTAATATGTTCTAGTTTAAGTGATCAAAATAATAATGTATAAAAAAAAAAGAAGAAAATATTTCAAATGATTCAAAATGCCTTTTGTTGCAGTGAAAGAGAGGAGATTCTCATGCAACTAAGAGCAGAAATAGATGTTCAAATATCTAGAATAAAAAAGCTGTTCAATAATGTTTACAAATTTGAAGTTTTGCATTTATAATTGTTTTTAACTGAGACTTGCTTTATTGTGGAGTCCCCTAACCCACACACAAACACACACTTGCCCATTTTGACTTTTAATTCTGCTCAAATTATTCAAGGAAATGTTAAAATCGCCCTTTACTGAAGTTTCAAAAATCAGATAAAGGTTGGACAAATCACAAAGGAGGTTTTAATTATTCTGCTATGGGTGTAGAATAATTTAGTATTTTAGTCTTTAGACTAGAACAGATTAAAGACGCTCATGGGAGTGAAAAATTAGGTGGAATCACTCTTTAGCCATTTCCAAAATCGGAAGCATACTTCAGCTTCATGTTTAATTTATTATTATTGTTAATATTATTTCACAATTTTAAGATAGCAATGTTGTATGTATATTAATAATACAACAATCTTTATTACAGTTGTCTTCAACTAAAAATGCTGAAACACAAATTGTTGTCAGCACATCAGATGCAGCCGTACAGTGGCCAGAAGATGTATTTTATCCAATAACAATGGACCACATTTATGCAGACATGCCACTGGAAAATCAAGATGATTAACCTCATCTTCATTACCCCTTGTGAGTTCTACATTAACATCAATTTCAACGCGCTCCGGTTCAAACTGAAAAGGAGTAACGTTACTCAGCTGTTTTGGCTGGATGGAGCTAGCACTACAGGACCTAGAATACATCATGTATCCAGAATGCATTGCAGCGCAAACAACACTGTGACGTCCGTGTGACAATATTTTATTCAATTTTATAAAAACTAAATGGCCTACAATATATTTTTACTTTATTGTTTTTACTTTAAAAAAAAAATCTCAAATAAAGTCTGTTGTTACAACTAATCATGAATCCCTTTAAGAAAAATGGAAAAATCTCAATTTCATTGCAATTAGTTCTGCCTTGCTCACATTTCTATCAGTCTGTTAATATTTATTTTTTCCATATGCATGAATGTGTTTATGTAGTTAAAAACTGTTTATTGTGTTTTTCTTCACATTCTTGTAAGAATCTGCGCTGGTTAAACGCCAACAGATTTGTTTGGACGGACGGCCTTCAAGTGCTGTTCATGTTCCAAAGATCAGGTGAGATGACATTTTTATTTATCCTTTTGACAACCAGATGTATCTGCTTTCACTTTGGAAGAAATAAAAACACACCTGTCTTGTGCCAGAAAATTGGAGTTACAATATATTTGATCGTCCTGATGCACGCTCAATCATCCAGGTAAAAAAAAAAATCCAAAAAAGTTACGTCGGGTCATCTGGACGGATTTTTCTTGGTTGAAACGTTCCAAGAAAAATCCGTCCACATGACCTGCCAACTATTTTAAATATATTAGATCGGTCTTAATCACAGCAGTTTTGAATGATTTTACGAGCAAATGGAACAAATTAGTTAAGTGTACAGTTTATATGTGATAAACCTTCAGTTCAAAGAGAACTATGAACCCATTCACACAGTGTTAATATTAGTCCTGAGGATAGAGAGACAGATATTTACTGGAGCACAGTCCGCCTCTCCCTTGGTACAAACATGCAACTATACCGCAATACAAACATACTGTGCTAATTAAAAAGCAAAACACTATCAAAATATCCATCCATCATCTTTATCCGCTTCTTCCTTTCCAGTTCTGGTCACTGGTGCTCATATTCCAGCTATCACTTTGTGAGAGGCGGGGGACACCCTGGACAGGTCTCCAGTCCATCACAGGGACACACAGAGACAAACGAAGCAAACATTCACTCTCTCACTCACACCTTTAGGGACAATTTAGAGTTACCAATCAGCCTAACATGCATGTTTTTGGTCTATGGGAGGAAATTGGAGAAAAACCACGCATGCATGAAGCAAACATGCAAACTCCACACAGAAAGGTCCCAGGCCGGGATTCGATCTGGCAACCTTCTCACAAAGAAAAAAGTTGTTTAAACCCAACACTGACGTTACATGTCAGTACACTGTGTGTTTCTTTTACAAGTTAAAATTGTTCTTCGCTCTGTGAAATTATCGATCAGTGTATATTCCTACCATTTTGCATCTGGAGAAAAGGCCACGGTAGCTCGGTGGTCAGCGCTGCAGAATTGGTATCCTGAGGTTGCAGGTTCAAACTCGGGTTGTGTCAGGAAGAGCATCAGATGTAAAACAATGTTAAATATTTAGTGCCCATTCGTTCACTGTGACAGCACCTGCACAAGAGAGCAAATATATAAAAAAACCCAACAGTATATATTTTACATTAGTAAGCTCATCAAGAGATAATTTTAAAAATCCAACTCAAATGGACCTGAATTGTTTTCATGTCAAAATAATGTGATTTTTGAATTTATTCTAATTTTTATAGAAACAGCAGCAGACCTGTTGCCACACCGTTGGTTGCTCAGGGGACAGCTCGCTGTGCAGCATGGCAGCATGTATCTGCATCCAGAGCAGATAACTGAAATTTAATTGAAAATATGTTTTGGGGAACAGAATTCACTGCCAGGTGTGAACGCTTTAAATTGGGGCTGTCCACCTGCAACTAAAACATCAAAGATAGATGTTAATGCAAGGTCTGAACAGGGTCTGTGAAAGACAGGTGACCTGCTCGTTGAAAAATAAAAACAACTGCATTTTAGCTTTTTCTTTCACCTGTAAACAAAGATGCAACACACAGGAGACTTTCTCTTCTTAGGACCATTTTACAAGAAATGGAGCTTCTTCACAGTACAGTGATGCTCCAACAAAGTTCAGTCAGGTCATAATATTGTGTATGTATTGTCATCACTGTACGTTCCCATACAATGTTGAAATTAGCTCTCTGCATTTGACCCATCCATCACCAGGTGGAGCAGTGGGCAGCTACGGAAAGCACCCGGGGAGCAACTGGGGATCAGTGTTGCCAGATCTCACGATAGAAACAAGCAACCAGCTCTATGAAAACTAGCCCAAAACAAGCCCAACTGGCAACCCACCACATTATGTAAAACAGGCCATTTTTAAACAGTATAAACATACATTTTTTATGGCATTACACATAAACAACAGCAAAATTATGATAAACACTTTGAATAACATACTTTTAAGCTCTGATAAAAAATACATTTTGCATATGTATTTTTTTCCTACATATTTTTAAAACCAAAACATCCTGATATCTGCGTGTGAGTGAAGCCCCCTAGTGGTCAGCCACAGTATGAGTATTTGGGGCATGCGCCCACATACCTATTTGTATATGTCTATGTGTGTGCTTGTCGCCCTCGCCAACTTGGGCGGGAGTGATAAACAGGAAACGGGGGCATGGAAGGGACAAACTACCTACTACCACTCATCTTTTGCTTTATTGCGCGGAGCTGGGAGATAATCAACTAGTTTCACTCGGAAAGAAAGTCAAGCCCAAATAAGCAACTTCATGTTCAAAACAAGCCCCAAAAACCACAACCCACGACTCACAAGATTTACAAGCGACTTGAGAAAAAAAAAAAAAAAAAAGAAAAAAGTCACTTATAATAAGCGGACTTGGCAACTAATACTGGGGATAGGGTGTCCTGCTCAGAGACACCACGAGATGTGCAATGACCGGGGATCAAACCAAGAACCTTTGGGACCTCAGTCGGCTGCCCTGCCCCTACATCATCTCAGCTGGTTTCTTCTTTTTGACGAGACATTTTGTTTTTTACCTGGATTACTGAGCATGAACTTTGATGTTTTGAACCACTTTGACTATAGCTGCCTCAGAGGAGTTGATGGGGGAGAAGGCGGGCCCCAGAAACCATTTAATCACCGGCAAACTGACTGTCCCACTACGTGAATGTGTTGCTTGTGGGACTGAGTTTGTTGTGGCTCCTCGGACTGATGAAGTCCTTTGGATGAAGGACAAAACGTCTCAACAACAACAACAAAAATAAACCATCTAGAGGACCTGACTGAAGTTTGTTGGATTTTTTTTACCGGGATTATTGAGCATGAACTTTAAATAATTATTCTCATTTGAATGTCAAAATAAACAACAGAAGCAGTTTGCCTACTGTTAAATTTTGCTTTACCTCTTTTTAATACTGACAAAGTGCATGTACTGACAGATTTAGCAAAATATTATAGTAGCTTTTAAACTTTACAGAAGATCACTGAGCAAAGAATGAAAGCTTTGATTGTTGTGAGTCCTTTCTCTGCTCCAGACTGTGAAATAACCCCCCTCCCCCCATGTGGTTGTGATTTCATACTGGTATAATAAGCTCATTAGTGGATGAAGGGATTTATCTTTGGGCGGTGGTTTCAGCAGGTAATCCTTTCTGAGAACCCATCTCTAATTTCTCCCTTTGTTTTGTCTCTTACTTGAAATCTGTCTAGACATCAGTGTGGGAATAGATGCAAAATTCTTTATTCCCCCTCCCCCATGACACTTCAGACTTTATTAGGCTGAGTTTTATGATTTGATTTAGTTTTTACTATTATTTTTTAACTCTAATTCTACAGTCTGTATAGTTTACAAAGTCTGAAGAAGCCCTCATTATGTTAATTCACCACACAAGAGGCGGTGCTACAAACTGTTTACCAACACCACATCTGTCAGGGAAAAGCTCAGACACCTTTGTACATAAGAGTGAGAGCCACTGATGGATGGAAATCCTAATGGGAGATGCCATATTTTAGCCCTCCAGTATGAATATAACCCTCCCTAAAGCAGCTCTCCTTTCTTTTCTTTTTTTTTCTAGCTTCTGTTTTGTACTACTACTTCTACAAGAGGACCTCAGAGTATCTGGGTGACCCTCGTCTCTATGAGGATTCACCGTGGCTGCGAGAAGTTTTTGCTCTGGTCAGACAGTGATCTCGCTGCGCCTGAGTACAAAATACCACAAAGCCAGAATAAAAAACTAACAGCCCCGTAAAATTACCCATAAATGTACTCCAGCTGTTTTAGTTCAACGTTTTTTACCGTGAACAGCAACTGTTTTGATGATGTTTAAAACTGTGATGTTGTCTTCATTTGGAAACATTTATTTCCAAATGGAAAAAAGAAAAAGAAAAGTACCTCTTTAATCTACTTATCCTATGAAGTAAAATCCAAATCCCATTTTTTCTCCTGAAGGACTGTGCCAAAACTTTGGAAGATGTTTCATAAAACCCAGTCAACATGTCCCATAAAGTTAGCTTTTTCATTTTATTCATTTACTTTGAAATTGTAAAAGTGAAATAAAAACTGGGAAAAGCATTTTGACCACAAAATAAAAAGATTAAAATGCATTACAGACTCATTCAGAAGACATAAAATAAAACTTACTGTTACTGGTTTCCAGTCACGAACATTAGCAAACTGGTCGTATTAACAAGTGGCACGCCAAAATCCATTTTTGACACAAACGTATAAAATTCTTCTCGCCAAAACCACAAGGTTTTGTGTCTATAGATCTAATGATAAACTGTCTTGAAAGAATTTAAGTTTTGTAAAGTGCTGTCTTATTAAGTGCTTATAATGAATTTCAGACTCTTCATTAATAATGTTACATTTTCATCCTGCCACAGGCCCTTTGTTCTGTTTCTGTTGCACTTCATTTTGTAAATAATGTCACTTTTCTACACATTCAACACTTTTTGAGTTGCTTCAGTTTTATTTGTAATTTTAATATTTCACTTTTATGACTTCACGTTCTAATTTCTGCTGACTCATCTTAACTTGCTGCATTTGAATTTTTGACATGTCTCTTCAATAAAATACAACAAGATGTGTGTTGAACTGTGGGTCACTTGGATCCAGTGCTGTTGTCTTCTGCAGTTGTTTCGAAGCACGACCGAAGATGAGGGAAGCGCAGCTGATCCATCAGTTCAACAATCTCTTTGAGGAGTGATGGTTCCTGCAGGTTTAACTGTAAACAAACAAACAAACAGAGCTTGTGAGACCAACATTTTTCTATTTAAAATAAAGAATACAATACTGTGCAAATCTTGTTGAAACATGGATGTGTTTCTTGAATTAGGTGCATTTAGTTTGCATTAGTTTAATGATTTATAAGAACGGAGGAAGTGAACACAATATTCAAAAAAAAAAAAAAAAAAAAACTCTTTGAAAGACTTTTAGAAATCCAGGAGACCTCCTGCTGCAAATGATATAAACTCCAAGCCAAACTATTCACTAATTCTGTTAATTTTCTTTGATGTTTGTCTGTGAAAACAATATGAGCGTTTTATCCACATCTTCAAAGATCCAGAGTAGAAAATTAAACATTTTGGCCAAAGGTCTGCAACCTGCGGCTCTGGGGCCACATGCGGCTCTTTGGTCCGTCTGCAGCGGCTCTTTCAGGCTTTGACCAAAACTAAAATAAAACTGAATTTTATTTAAATTATTGCCAACAATGAAAATGGCTAGATTTCCTGTCATTTTCAAATATGTGAAGAATAGTACAAATACAAGGTGAAAAACATGTGGACTGCATCATGCTAGAAGCTTGTTAGCCACTTTAAGTGAACTTCCAGTCTCACTGCGTGATGTTGCTCTCAAAACCAGGAGAACGTTGTGGAATATCTTTAAGACAAGCTGCTGAGAAGGAATATTTATACTAAGAATAAAACACAAAAAACCAAGTCAAAGTAAAATAAACTATTTTTTTTTCTTTAAAAATGTACCTGGATATCCAACAAACTGGCCTAATTTTATACTGTCTTTAACTTTATGCTTTAAGTAGGAAACTTAATTCTTCAACAGTTAAGAGAACTCACATCGGCCTACAGAGTTCAGTGTTTTAACTTTTATATAATTGTTAAAAATTATATATTTTCTTTCTTTACATGAATCTGGTCTTTTCTTTTGTATTAAAATGTAAAAATATCAATAAATGCTAATAACAGCAATACATTTTTTGTTTTATCAAATCACCCCCACTGGCTGGAAAAGCCTTCTCCAACAAACTTGTAGTGGTCCACGGGCCACCAGTTGACAGTACACAGCTGTAGCAGGTATTGTGGCTCTGGCTATAGTAATTAGTGAGCCAAATGGCAAAAATTGCTCTTTTTATCACAAATGTTGCAGACCCCTGATCTATTCAAATGGGTTTCATACATCACCAAAAGTCTGATGCAATTCCACTACAACATTTACTTCTTACTGTCAACTGGTGGCCCGTGGACCACTACATGTTTCACATGTCTTTACATGTGAAACATGCAATACAGCATTACTTTAATTACAAGTAAACAATCATTAACAATAGGGTGAATATTGTCCCCATCCTTATTTTAAAAATCATCTTAAATACAAATACATATAAAATAAACAAGGACATCTCACCCTTACTGCATATTTATGACATTGCTCAGCCTCTTCTTGTCGACCAGTCTGAAAACAAACAAACAAACAAACAAACAAAAATCATTCAGATAATTACAGACAAAACATTAATGTGTGTTTCCTGGTTTAGAGGATATGTTTCTAAAGAGATGCACTGCTTGCCACATGTTACTTTGGTCATTCTGGACTTAGCTGAACTTGCATTTACTTTTAAACTGAGAACTCACTGCAGAAAATGACGCCTTTGCATCAGTAAACAAAAAAACTGCACTGTAATATAAACAAGAGTATTTATGTTATTGACAAATAACCAGAGCTACAATCTTGAATTAGTCTAGAACAAAGATCTTCCTTCAAAACATCCTGAGTCTTGCTCAATAATCCAAGTAGAAAAATCCAACAAAGTTAAGTCAGGTCCTCTGGACAGTTTCTTTTTGTTGAAAGAAGAGAAAAGTTTCAAAGTTTCAATAAAAAAAAAACAAACAAAAAAAAAATTGTCCAGAGGACCTGACTTAACTTTGTTAGATTTTTCTACCTGGATTACTGAGCATGGATCAGGATGTTTTGAACTACTTTGGCCATGATTGCCTCGGACTAGGTTTGGGAGTTGGGGTTAGTTTGGGGCAGTCGATGGGGGAGAGTGCAGACCACAGCAACCACATGAGCACCATCAAACTGGTTGACCCACTATGTGAAGGTGCTATTTATAAGGCTGAGTTTGTTTCAGCTCCTCGGACTGATGAAGTCCATTCATTATCTTTACCTGCTTCAGATGAAAGACGAAACGTTTCAACGAAAAGACACCGTCCAGAGGACCTGACTTAACTTTACTGGATCTTCCTTCATCCTAACCAGTCACGTTTTCTGATATTTACTGTAACACCATCAAATGCTTCCATATTTATCAGATAATTCTAGTTGTTCCTGTTTCATAAAGCCTTGTGTTTACAACAGATACATCATCTTGCTGTACATAAAGGCTTTTTTTGTTGTTAACTGGACTGTGATAGATTGTGTGTGTGTGTTTAGAGAACTATGTAGAAAAATAGATTATGTCCTACACGACACCTCATAGTAATCGCTCACCCTGAGGCAGATTAGAGTCAGGTAAGCCCACACCTCTGCGTTCTCAGCGTACAAACCGTTGGACACAGTTAAAGCTTCCTCAGCTTCAGACAGCTCCTCCAGCTGCACACAAACAAAAACACAATTGGGGTTCAGTTTCTTCTTAAAGCAACATATTAGATTCATAAAATCACCTTTTTGGTAGTGAGTCTATCGTAGCTCTAAAAATACTTTTGGCTTTGTTAAGAAAAAGCATTTGGACCAGCCGACACAAGAAAAAAATAGACATTTACCCGATAACAGGCTGCTCCCAGGCCCAGCCAGGCCAGACATGATGGAGACTGCTCACAAGCCTGCAGGTAGACATCTTTGGCTCGCTCAAACTGAAAGTTAAAACTCCAAGAATGAATTTTGGTCAGACTGCAGAGGTTTGTGGCTTCAAACATCATTTCATCCTTGTTGCCTTTAGAATAGTTTAAAGTTAAATGTAGTCCCTACAGCCTCATGCTTAAAAACGATCAATTTAAGCACCATTTTTCACAAGGCTTGTATTGCATTTGTAAAACAACAACAACAAAACATTGTAAATTCAACTTTTTTTATAAAATTTGTGGAAAAACCCTGTTTAATTAAAAACAAGGAATGGATGGCATTATTTTTTTCTACAATAACAAAACAAGAACAAGGCAAATAAAAAAAAAAAGGTGATTTGATGACTTATCAACAAGAACAGAAAAATACAGAAAGTGCTGTTAAGACAGCAGTATGATCACTCTTATGCAACCTTTTTCTCCAGACGATAGATGGATCCCAGACGGAGCAGAACGATATGAGAGTCCAATGGCAGCTGTGGAAAGACGAGACTCCACTCGTAGCTCTCCCGGGCTTCAGTAAATGCACCCTGCAGGTAGTGACAGTGACCGTTCACTGCCCAGGCATCTGGATCCTGCTTTAGTTGTAGAGAATCAGGATTAGAATTAGAATTGAGAACATTCAGGTTAGAGGTCTAAAATGTGCTTCAGTCTTGTGAATGGTCCTTTTTGTAAAAAGTTGTGTTGGTACACATATATTTAAAACAAACAAACAAACTATTAAGAAAATATCATAATAGTATGTGTGACAAGAAAAAGCTGAATGTTATTTTGTTCAGTTAGAATGAAAACAACACCGGTTATAACTTATTATTGTTATAGTAGCCTGCTACTATCAAACTGGCCTACTATTCAACAGATCTTTGACCCAAAGGTACTGTAACTGTAGAAGCAAGGAGAAATAGGTCAGACATGTACAGCTGTTTAATTTACTGCTCACCGTGGTACCAATTTGCTGCTGTTTGTTATTGTTTCAGGTTAGTGAGGTACTGGGCCAGCAGGAAAAGTCCAGTACTAATGAGATGAAGCAAGGCCATTGCAGCAGGGCGGTACTTCAGACAGTAAATCAATTCTTCATCCATGCTTGTTTACAGGAACAAGGACAGCAGCTCCATTAAATGGACTAGGTGTTCTGTGACTCAAACTTGACTCAGCTGTGCATAGAAACTTCCTGAGACTTAACATTACAGTGCCTATAAAAAAAGTATTCATTCTCTCAAATGTTTTACCATGTGATTGCTATTATAAATGAGTCACAGTCAATGTGAATTGGACTTTGTGACAAACAAACAAACACAAAACAAAACCCTCTTCAATGACAACGTGAAATCTGATCTGTACAAAGTAAGTTCAATAAAATAAAAATATGTAATGTAAAATAAGGGACAGCGTAAATATTCACCCCCTTCATATATTCTCCCCATATTACATGAAGGGGGTGAAAAGAAACATTTTCTGTAACAATGTGAAAACCACATTCAGCCCCTTCATATGTTACAGCAGCCATCATGTAATACCCAAGCTCAGGCTTTTCTGCTTTGTGACAGTGAGGTAGTGAGAAAAAATTATAAATGCTTCGTAAAGTAGTGCCACCAACTTTCTCCAAAAATATTTGTTTTAAAATTTGGAGGTAACCCAAGTGGATATCTAATATATTGGCAGACGTGTGTAAAACAGTCGTCTGTTGTGTAAATTCTAAGAAACGGGGTTCATCCTAACTAAGTGAAATCATCTGTATGTGTTTTAGGAATCACAAAGACATGAGCTATTCCCACTTCATCCTGCAGAGGGCTGCAGAGGGCTGCAGAGGGCTTAAACCTACACAAGCTGAGTTCATGAATAACAAGATGCATCTTGGGTCCGTGTACATGTCAGCCGTCCATCCCATCCCATAACATCAGCTCCTCTGTTGTGTCTTCATTGGAGTTTGTGTTTGGTCAAAAATTGTTGAATTTGACAACACTGTCTAATGAAAGAGTACTGACTCTGCACCATTCATGTGATACTTTCTGTGCAGTCTTTGTGGTGGTAATGCACACATACATACCTGATCTCTGTGAAACAGGACTTGTTTGAGGCCTGCAGCAGCACTGCAGTAGTCGCCTTTGAGCAGCTGCAGCTGGGCCAGATTGAGAAGATAGGAACCACTGGGACTGCCTTTAGAACACAGGAGCTCCTGGGACAACGCGTGTTCTGCCATCTGACAACAGAAAACAGTGACTTCTACAACTGTTTTATTTTTATTTAACTTCATCTTTGCAATAAGGTGTAGTCTTCAGATGTAGAAATTTATACCACTTTTTTTTTTTTTTTTTTTATGAATCTGCCCAAAATCAAAGTCATATTGTTTCTTAGTGATCATAAAACAACACACTAAACTTACAATCACAAGATGAGCTTCACATAGGAGCTTATTTCAGCTGATATTTGACTGGTGTGTGACCACTGGTGTTGAGTGAATATACCTGCAAGGCATTGTTCCGCAGCAGGAACTGGACTGTCTGTGTGAAAATGGTACAGGTGGGTTCAGCTGGAGTTGATGTGGAGATGTCATCTTGTGCTGAAGGCTCTTGGTACTCCTCTGGGTCTCTGCCCACAAACTCTGGGTCTGGAAAGAGAAAGACAGATTTGCTGCCATATGCACTTGGAGCTGATATGCATCACGAGTCTCAGAAGAAAGGTGGAAATGACGAGATGAGTTTTATAACCTGGTGTCAACAGAGTATATTGAATCAGTGACATTAGATCCTTACATCATGTAAGGATGTGTTTTATTTATGTAAATCATTTACATTTATTTTTTCCTGGGTGTTTTTTTTTAAATTTTTTTTATTATAAATATGCCTCACCTTGCTCAGCTGGTTGAGAATGTGCTGAGACAGCTGTCTCCCCTTCGTCCTGCAGGTCCTTCTCCTCCTTGAAGTTTTGCTCACGGTCTTTCTCCTCCTCTGTGTGAGGTTTGTTGTTCACCTCGTCTTCCCCAAGCATCTTATTGGCCATTGAAAAAACCCTCTCAGCCAGGATCGGTTCATTTTTTCTCTCGTGAAGCAAACCTAAACAACAAACCCAGACAGGTAAAATTACCAAAGCTGCCCTTTGTTTCAACTTCACTCCTGCTCACTTACATGAAAACTGCTTGAAGCTCTATGTGCTAATGTTACCCTAATCTGATTAGTAATAACTCAGCACTCTTACAGTAAGTAATATATGTGTTCTGCTTGTTCCTATTGATTTACTACTTTATGGAGCATGATTTTATTGCTTTGGTTCAATTTTATTTTTGCTGTACAGTACTTTGATGCAACTCTAGTGAATTATAAAGTGCTTTAAAAATTAAACTGACATTTACTCGTTCTGTATAAATTAAAGCAAGTAACCTACATTTTACAACTGAGTTGTAATATCTTATTTTTCAATCATTTTGCCTATTGGATCTTTGAGATGGCAACCAACAGTGGTTAGAGCTGCCACTGCTCAAAGAGAAGGTCACAGGATTGCCTCCCGGGCGCTGGAGTTTGCAAGTTCTCCCTGTGTGGATGTTCACCAGGTCCACCGTTTTCCTCCCACAGACCAAAAACATGCACGTGAGTTTATTTGGTAACTCTAAATTGTCCCTAGGTGTGACAGGTTGTTTGTCTCTTGCACAGTGAATGTTGAAGACAGGAACTAGCCGCCCCACGACTCAGAAAAGGAAAACAGGTAAAGAAAATGGATGGAATGTTTTAGATTTTATCTAATTTTACATTTAAAGCAACATGTAATGTGCTAATAAACAAGCTTATAAATCACTTCTCATTTAAAAGTCTTTGTTGCCTCCGGTTGGTGCAGAACGCTGCTGCTCGGCTTCTAACTGGAGTTCAAAAGAGGGAGCACATCACCTCCACTCTGGCTTCACTCCACTTCATTTTAGAGTTCATTTTAAGATTCTTTTATTTGTTTTTAAAAGTTTAAATGGTCTTGCCCCATCCTACCAGGAAGGAGTGAACAATGCCCCAAAGACCCATTTCTGCCTGATGCCCTCAACAAGTTCTACGCACGCTTTGAAGACCCGAACAGACCACCCAGCACCAGACTCACCTCACCACCGGATGAAGAGCATCTCAGCGTGACCTCAGCAGAAGTAAGTAGTACCTTCAGGAGGATTAATCCGCACAAGGCAACTGGCCCAGACAACATCCCCGGAAAAGTGTTGAAGGAATGTGCTGATCAGCTCTGTGAGGTGCTGGCAGACATCTTTAACACCTCACTTACCCTGGAGACAGTTCCCACCTGCCTGAAGACTGCCACCATCATCCCAGTCCCAAAAAGCTCTACAGTGACTGGTCTGAATGACTATCGGCCAGTGGCCCTCACCCCGATAGTCGCTAAATGCTTTGAAAAACTGGTCATGACTCACATCAAAACAACCATCAACATCAACGAGGACCCTCATCAGTACGCATACCGTGAGAACCGATCAACAGAGGATGCAATCTCCTCTGTGGTCCACACTGCGCTCAACCACCTGGAGCAGAAAAACTCTTACGTCCGTATGCTCTTTGTGGACTTCACATCCGCCTTCAACACCATGATCCCCCAAACCCTGATGGACAAACTATCCACACTAGGACTAAGCCTCTCCATTTGCAACTGGGTACTAGACTTTTTAACAAACAGACCACAGTTAGTGAGGATCCACAATCTCTCCTCCTCCACCATAACCCTCAGCACTGGCTCTCCTCAGGGATGTGTGTTGAGCCCCCTCCTGTTTACTCTGCTCACGTATGATTGTGCAGCTACCCATCCAGGCTGTCACATTGTAAAGTTTGCAGATGATACAGCGGTGGTGGGATGCATCACAAACAACAATGAGTCCAGCTACAGGCAAGAGGTGGAACACCTGGAGAGCTGGTGCAAAGAGAATAACCTTCACATCAATGTGAAGAAGACAAAGGAGATGATTGTGGACTTCAGAAGGAACAAAAACATCTACACCCCCCTGAACATAAGAGGATCTGCGGTGGAAGTGGTCTCCAGCTACAAGTACTTGGGTGTACACATGAATGACAACCTCAGCTGGAGCAACAACACCACCAGCCTGATCAAGAAAGCTCATCAGAGACTCTACTTCCTCAGACGGCTGAGGCGAGCTGGTCTGGGAAGCTCAGTCCTCACCTCCTTCTACAGGTGTGCAGTGGAGAGCATCCTGTGCTCGAGCATCAACGTGTGGCATGGAGGCTGCACAGCTGCAGAAAGAAAAGCTTTGCAGAGAGTGGTGAAGGCTGCACAGAAATCTGTCGGAATCAGCCTCCCCACCATCACAGACATCTACACCTCCAGATGCAGGAAGAGGGCCACCTGCATCATGAAGGACCCCACTCACCCAGCACACACACTTTTTGCCCCACTCCCCTCAGGAAGGAGGTTAAGGAGCATTAAGTGTAGAACCACTAGACTGAGGAACAGCTTCTACCCTGATGCTGTTAGACTCATGAATCTCTAACTAGAATAATCACTGTGAAAAACCATATCATGTTGCTGCTGATCTGTTTCATGTTGCTGCTGATCTGTTTCAATGTTGATGTGTCCATGCGTGCACATCTGCTCACAGACTCATGTTCATGTTTGTGCTGATGTTCAATGTTTTATGCTATTAGTGCTTAGTGTATATTTAGTTGATGTTTTTCTTAGTTCATATCTTAGATGTTATTACTGTTTTTCTTATACATTTTATTGTTGGATGTAACTGGGACCCCGTGTACATAATTTCGCTCCACCACATGTACCACATGAGGTGCGAATGACAATAAAGAAACTCTGACTCTGACTCTCTGACTACCTCTCTGAGCTGCTTCACCCATACTCCTGCTCGGTGCCTTCAATCAGCTGATCAGCTGCTCCTGGAGGTGCTGAGGTCTAAACGGAGGCTCAGAGGGGACAGCACTTTTTCTGTTGCTGCTCCAAGACTGAGGAACGATCTTCTTCTTCCCATCAGACGAGCCCCTTCACTGTCCAGTTTTAAAACTCTTTTAAAAACACATTTTTACTCCCTGGCTTTTAGCACACACTGAATTTTGCTCTGCACTGTTTTTATTGATCTTAATGTTTTAACAACTGCTTTATGTGTTTAAATGTTCTTGATTTTATATGTACAGCACTTTGTGGCAGCTGTGGTTGTTTTAAAGGGCTTTATAAATAAAGTATTATTACTATTATTATTATTTGTTTAGCTTTAGCCTTCTTTCTGTTGGAATAAATCCTACAAGACTAGCTGACTTCTTGATAAAAAGTATTGAGAAAGAACTTTGATTTTGATCTCACCCAGCAGCGTCCAGGCCGGTACACTGGGTGGGTCTATGCTGGCGGCTCGTTCCAGACAGGTCTGGGCATCTTTGTAACGTTCAAACATCATCGCCAAAACTCCACACATGATCAGACTGGACAAACAAATGGAGAACAAAGAACAAACTATTCTGCCAATTATCCATAAAAAGGAAATGAGGATGTTTTACTAGCACTGACCTCATGCTTCTCTTCAAACACTCGGCCCCTAATGTCACTCGTTTCTCTCAGATGTAATTCGTAGTGTCCATTAGTAACTCTAAGTGGTCTAAGGACCAGATTACATGTGAGTGCTCCTAAACCTCTGGAGTGATGCAGTTCTAGATGACAGATTTCTGAACTTGATGGATACCTATGTTCAACAAACTATTCAGTCCTCAGCAAACTGAAGTTATGGAAATGAATGTCTGACTTTCAAAATGTCTGAAAGCAGTTTTACAAACAGCAAGAAATCAGTTGGAACAATGGATTTTATGTTATAGTCCCCATGTTATCTTATGACTTTATGTGATCACCCCAGACTGCAGTTATGGAAAGAAAGACAACATTTTCTATTCATCAATATAATTATAATTAATTATTTATTAAGGATTTGCATTTTTGTAAAAACTTTTTTCTTCTGTGAGTCAGAATCTTTTTTCAAACTGTTGATCTTTGGCCAATTGTTGAACTACATACTGGGATTTTTCCTTCAGCTGCTCTCGTCTGCAAGGGTGGCCACAGCAATCAAACTCGTAAAACAAAATCTGGCGAATGTTAACATTTGCTCCAGTCTGCAGCCTCAGGATTACTAGACTGCAGCGCTCATCACTGAGCTACTGCAGCCAATTGTTGAGCTAAATGACTTATGATAAATTCCCCCAGATGCACTTAATGCTACAATGATCTGCTGTGAGTAAACTTTGACATAGCAAATATTATTTACGCGTATATAATTTCTAACCTGGGTTGGTGCAGTTGTTGGGTGGACACAGCGTCACGGAAACACTCTTCAGCTTTCATGTAGTCTCCCATCAACATGTTCAGGCTGCCCCATTCAAACTTGTGCAAGGGCTCATCAGGGTGCCTCGCCACTAACTGCAGGTCCACAAATACATATTTCAGAGGGAGTTTCCGTCACGTTACCAGCCACAATGATAACTTGAACATATTGGATGATGTGCACCAAAAATAGAGTGAGAACACAAGTTAGCACATTTGTAGTAACAGATGCTTAAATAACTATATTATAAAGGTCCACATTTTTCATTTAAAGGTTGATTCACTTGCTGCCATTGCGTGCTATTGATTTTTAAATACTTCTACAAATATGACCATGGCTAAATAATATAGACTTTCAACAAGTTTTTGTTCCTTTTTGCACCTCTTTATAGTACTTAGCTGACAGCTTGTAATTCCCAAGAAGTTGTGCCTCTCTGGCAAAATGCATGAGCTGGGATGATTCTAAAGGGATTTCCTCACAGCTGTCTTTGTCAGCATCATTTGAATAAATCTATTGATGAAGAAAGGATAAAAATAAGGAAACTTGAACATTTCTTTAAAATATAGTCCTATTTGAGCGCCAGTGTGTTTGTTACTTTGTTGAGAGCTACATGCATCTCATCCACCAGGTTGACATACAGTTGGCTCACAAATGTTTGTAGCCTCTCAGGATCAGTGAATGGTTCGGTTTGCCACAACTTGTCACGAACCATTCTAACCACTGCATTCTACGTGCCAAAAACACACAAGATCACACAGTGAATTTGATACAAAGGGTAACACAAGAAATTATTTTGGGCACATGCAGTTTTTTATTTTATTTTACCTTTATCTGCTCCTTGAAGGTGAAATATCTCCCAGAGACGTTAAGGCCTCCCATCAGCTCAGTCAACATTTGCTCTGGACTTAGCCTTTTTGGCAAACGGCATTTGGCTCCAAACAGTTCATAGTACTGCTCTGAAACAGCAGCCACAGCGTTGCCCACCTGCCTGTGGAAGTCCAGCACAGCCTAGCACACATCAGTGGAGAAAAGTTAGAGAGGGAGCAACTCTCAGATTATATAACGGCTCAGTTTGTTTCATATACTGTGTAATTAACTGTGGCTGAGTTTAGTTTTGTCTTTACTGTTTCTGCTGGGCTTGGACCCACTGGGTGCTGAGGTTTGGGTGGGATCAGGGCCTTCATCCTGTGAGAAATAGAAACACACACCATAGTGCCACTTCTTGTTCCTATATAACCAGTAAGAAACCAAAAAACTACAGATAAATGTACCAGAGAAGAGGACAAATGGATATTTATATCATAATTGCACCAATTAACTTTCAGCCACGTAAAAGTACTTTAAAAGTGTATTAATTTTTTAACTGATATTGTCAAGAATAATAACAAAGTAAAGTATAAAATTTATGTTAGCAAACATTGATTAACACAATATTTATGTAAAAAAAATTACCTTTTGGCCAGCTCCTCTGGAGATGTTTTTGGCACTAGTGGTTTATCCAAAGCTATTTCGATGATAATATAAGTTCTGGCCTCCGCATACATCTGTCATTAACAAACACGAGCTGATATAAGTATTTACTAACAGTAAAATCCTTACCAGGATATAACTCTATAGTATCCTATAGTTAATGCAGCATGTAGAGCAAAAATTGAGTTATACTGTATTTCTGCTATAACAGTGCTGTGAGTACATCAACCTACAGTTGTTTCATGTTGGGGTCAGCATTCACCGAGTTGTGCTGCTGTTTTGTGAAAACTTACATTTCTTTCTGTGTTGACCTGAGGCTCAGAGTCAGACAAGTTTTCAGCTGTGTCATCAGCTCGGCTCTGATTGATGGTCTGCTAACAGTTCAAAGACAAATTATATTGTTAGGCTCCAGCATTTACAACTAAACGTTTTTCATTCCTCTTGGTTAGTTGGATATGAAGAACAGTGTAAGGCAACAAAAAAGCTATTTAATTTAAATTTTTTTTTAAAAGTCTGTTTTACAGAATACATTTTGTGTTTCATGATCTTTTTAGCCATCAGGATGTGTCTGACCTTTTTAGGCTCCTTGGGATCCTTGACCTTTTTCCCAGCTTTTTTGTGAGGTGCAGCAGCAGCAGAGGAGGCTCGAGCTTCGACCAGGACGGCTGCTGCTCTAGCCTGCTCCTTTAACACACTGACCCCTCTCTTGGTCTGTGAGAATGAAAGCAACACTTAACATTTTAATAGAAGTCAGACATTAAAACAGCACTGGGACAACAGTAAGATTATTTAATGCTCTAGTAAGGGTTTTGATTTAGATACAATATATTAAAGGTGACCCCCTTAAAGAAAAGATAACTTTTATAGTTAATTTAATCCAAACATTGTGAAGATTAAACAAAAGAAAGCTATACAAACTAAATGTAAGCTAATTTAATGCATAGTATCTGTGTGACCTTGTTCAGCAGCTCAGTCATGCAGAACGGGTGAACGGTGTACGCTCCTCGGGTTCTACTGACTCCAGGATACAGCAGCTGTCCCATGTCCACAAACACCAAGCCATGGAAGGGGATCTCCACGCTGTCATCCCCAAGCTACACACACAAATGCACGCACACACAAACAAACACACACAGGTTTTATTCGACAAATACCATTCTCAGCTTTATCTTAAATGAAATCACTCAGTTTAGGCTAAACAGCTAACACAACAGGACCATCATAAGAGACTGGAAAATATTTCTGACCTTTTCAAGTGGAACCATGGATCTCATTATCTCCACTGGCCACAGTCTGCTCTCAGTGATCATCTGCTGCAGCCTGAAATCACAGTTACTGATGTTAGACGAACAGTCCTGTGCTAAAGTCTAAACCCAGCCATCATCCACCGTGACTCAAATAACTCAAACCTTCTCATATGTTGTTAAATGTTGGAAAACTGTCTGCTTTTTAAAAATACTTTATTTTTAAGTCATTGTAACTGACCATGATCAGATAATCCTTTTTCACATTTTTTTTTCTAACCCAATTACTACGAATCTAGGAATTGTTTTAACATAAAACGGCTATAAAAACAGAATTGGAGAAGAATGGGTTTTGCACATTTTCACTTTTTCCACAGTTTTTCAAAGGTAGAAATTTAAGTTCTGTTTAGGTCTGTATTGTTTTATGTAACAAGAAGTTGTTGTTTACTATATTTCTTTTGGACCTTGTAAATATTATATTTCTTTTTCACTTGTTGGCACTTTATTTTGTACTTTAACTGCATGCTTTAGCATTTCTTGCTGTTTTTTTAGTGAGTCGAAACAGTTCGTCTCATCCTGAGCATTTCATTGCCTTGCTGACCTTGTGTGAACCTGCACATGACAAATAAACAAACATAAGCGTGATGATTATAAACCGCATAGTGCAATAACTTTATTTCACATCTTCCTTCGTTACATAAATATTCTGGAAATACCATAATTTATAAAAGGTAATAAAGTTGATCTAATTTAAAGCTGAATTAAATATCCAGATGTAAACACAGATGAGTCACTTTGATTTTGCAGATTCTTTTTTTTCATTTATGGCCAACAGATGTGATGATCAGAGGGAGTTGTGTGCAGCTGACCTTGAAACTCCTCCTGCATCCAGGAAGCAGCACATCTCTGTGTCCCAGCTCACCCTGTTCTTTTTGGTCTCTGCCTCATTACGAAATGTTCGATCCTGCAGGAGCATGTAGATTTCCAAACACAAAGCTGACAATGACTCAGATTTTTTGTATGCTTTAATTTTCTGAAGTGATTTGAAAGTCATTTTGTTATATATATATATATATATATAACTATTCTCAAAATTAGCACAGGATGGTGCTAATGCTTAAGGAATCAGTAGTTTAACATTTTTGTGTAGTGAAAGTCTGTGGGTTTCACCTAACATTTTTCAGCTGTGTGTGCAGCATTTGAGTTACCTCTAAAGCTGTTAACTCCCCGCTCTCCTGTTGGATGGGCTGAGCCTGAAAGGAGGTTCCAGGGAGGCAGTGGTTCCCTGGTACTAACAAGGCCTGATAAGGCCTTTTCTTCTGACGACCTTTGACCTCCCTCTGTCCTCCTACCTTCAGTTGTCCTTCACAGAACATCAAAACCTGGTCTTCCTAAACCAGACAGAGAAATAATACATATATATATATATATATATATTTTTTTTTTTTAAAGTGTGTCACCATGAAGAAGTTTAAATCGGTTTCTATTAATTTTATTATTTAAGTGCCACACTAGAAAAAAAAGAAAATAGCCAAATAAGAAGCAGAGCACAAAACTCACCTCTGCAGTGAGAGGGACGCTCATGGCAGCAGCATATGTGAAGGGACTGGGAGCGAAGCCTGATGGCAGCGTCCATGGCTCTGGGACAGAGTAGGCTGTTTCCACAGTTACCTTCAGGAGGTTAGTGACTGAACGTTCAGCCTCAGACAGCAGCGGGCTTAAGACACTGACACATACATCCAGGGTTGGCTGCTGAATGGGGTTGAATGGGGGAAAATCAGAGTGTTATTTTCTTAAAAACTACATCTACAATGGTGGCATGAGGATGCTGTTTAAGGAGCTGCAATGGATAAGTGTCAGTCAGATGTTTGTAAATGCCAACGCACCAACCTGTGCTGCTGTGCTTCAAAACCTTAAGTACAGATGTATGTGTAGGCTAACAGACTGTACATAGCATCATTTATACTCTGACCAACCCTGTACAAAGCTCAGTTAGGTTTTTTTCTAGTCTGTGGAATCACTGGTGCTTTAATTTATATGGCAATGGCTGAACATTCTATTTTTATTGTATCTTGTTGTTGTTGTTTTTGCCTGTTTTTGTTTACTATCGACCATGTAGGTGTCTGAATATAAAGTTTTGATTGATTGATTAAATGAAATGCTTATGCCTAATAACATTTAACTTGACATGAAAATGCCTATTTCAGGTTTTAAGCATGTTTTAAAAAAGATATTTTATTCAAAATACTGCCACGAACACAAATATTTGAAGAAATGGTGTAACGGGATAAGGTGCAAAGTATAAAAACACTGTATGAGAAACTAAACCAAGAGTATAAAGCGTTGCAGTGGAGACTGATATGTGTAAGAAGTGCTGCTAAATGGCAGAATGCACCAAAATGTGTCTGCTTCAGACAGATGCAGAGACAGTGGGACATTCATGAGATGAGCTATGAAACAGTGAAATGAAAAACCGTGTTGTCATGAATTAACAAACCTTCCGGGTGAAGCCAAGGTAAGAGTCCTTGAGCCCGGTGCCATTTACAGGATGGACTGGTATTGTGGACGAAAAGCTGCACACACCTGCAGAAAGGTAGGAAATCATTTCAGGTATTCACATCCTGGCCTTATGCTGTCCTGTTCTGGACATTTGTTTTATTAAGCTCATTTGTCTTACATACATACAAATCTATCATTTCAAATAATGGTACCTTGCAGAAGTGGCAGCAGATCGAGCACAGCTTGGCCTATTGCCAGCACTTTGACCTCACCTCTCTTCTCCTCCAGCATGACCTCCATTACCGTTACTGAACACATCACATAATTATTATTAGTAATAGTAGTAATAAGTTACTATGGTGTTATAGTAAACACAAGCTGTGCAAACACTCATTAAACTGCAACTTCTTCTCCTGTTTTGGTTTACATATAGAAACATTTCTCCCTATATGTCACTGTCATTTTATATTGAATAATAATACTAGTTTCAAATTAAATTAGACTTTTATCAGTATGACCAAATGAAATCAAAGTGGTTCAGCAAATAAACAAACAAATAAATAAATACAAATGAACAAAAAAATAATTAAACATTATGTTAAAAGGTCAGAGAGGTTTCAAATTAAGGACCAAGTGTTCTCAGCTTTGTAAATATTTGATTACATTTCAAATTTGAAATTACAAACGGAATAAATCAGCAACATTTTTTTAATCAAATGTATGATTTTCTTTACCATCAGTGTGCATGATACAGTAAACTTGCTATGCCTTGTTATCTTGTTTTTTTTGTGTAAGTTTTAAAGTTGTTAGCTTTCTCCTTTTTCAAATCCTGTGCTTTTATAAATGTGTCAAATGGATGAAACTGTTCAAGTGTATGTTTAAGGCAAATAGGTCTGAATGAGAAATTACTATAACATCAAGAACTGAGCAATTCTGAAACAAAAACTAAAATTAAAAAAGGCTAAACAAGTTGCGTTCAGATACTTGTGAGCTCAGATGTAAACTCAGCGCACTAAACTTACATATGACTGGTTTTTGAGAGACGTCACTTAGAGCTTGTGAGTCTTTTGGTGGACTGAAGCAGCACGTGAAGTTGTAGTCAACACGTTGCTCCAAAAGGTTGATTTCCATCTTATCTGACTCTCCCAGCAGGTTTCCATCAATTGCAACCTGCAGAAAACTCAGCAGACTGCCTGATTTTTTTCCTTGCTGAAAAGAGAAGAATAGAAACTTGGTACTATATGTAGAAAATAATTATAGGTTGTGAGGTCATTTTTAACTATATAGAATATTTTTAAATTCCTGTGAAAATATAATGTGAATTATTATTCATACTATATAGTAAGCAGTGGTGTAGTCTATGTGATATAATATAATATAATATAATATAATATAATATAATATAATATAATATAATATAATAAAACAGAATAGAATAGAATAGAATAGAATAGAATAGAATAGAATAGAAACAGCCTTTATTGTCCCACGGATGGGAAATTCAAGTGTAACAGCAGCAACAGATAAAAAGACTCACACAAAAGTTCCTAAATGTTAATATATATATATATATATATATATATATATATATATATATATATATATATATATATAAGTAAGATAAACAATATCAATAATAATGTTCAGTATGTGTTGGAACATGGATAAAGGCAGACTATTCACAGTACAGTATTATAGGCAGAGTGTGTTTTAGCAGAGGTTAGCGTGTATTTAATCCTTATTGAGTTTAATGGGAGCAGTGATGGTTGTAGAGTCTAACAGCTGCTGGGAGGAAGGGCCTGTGGTAACGCTGTGAATTTAGGATGCAGTAATCTGTCACTGAAGGAGCTCGGGTATATGGAGTATACCCACTAGAAAAGCTTAAGAATTTCAGTATATCCAGTTAAAATTGTCCAATGATACGACATATCATTAGGCACGCGTCACTGATATGTTAAACGGCAGTTAAACGCTTCCGTAACAATCTATCGGTATGCAGCGCTTTGCTTTGATACAGTTTTATAAATACTATAACATGTTTTTAATAAAGCCAAGTGTTGTACAAAGTTTGTTGTTCATTTATTCAAATATAAGCATCAGAGAAATTAGGAAATGTTCAATATGCTTAAAAATGAAAATAAATTGACAATTACATTGCACTTGGGTTTCTAAGCACAGTATACCCACTATAAAAAAGTAGACTACAGCACTGATAGAAAGTTACTAATAATATTCTCATGGCCTCAGCAAATGGACTTGTGTCTACACTGGTCTTGTTAGACCTCAGTGCTGTATTTGATGCAGCTGATCACAATGTTTTACTACAGTACTTCTTTAAGTTAAAAGAAGGTGAATGTTAGCAAAAATCAAGAACAAAATAACTTTGTGCTAGAAGTACTCAAATGCTAATAAAAGTCAAGAAAATGGTATCTGATATTAAATTATTAGCAAAAATCAGGAAACCCTTAGCTGAAAGCCTTCATCTCCTTTCGGCTGCTCCCTTCTTCAGGGGTCGCCACAGCGAACTGTCTCGCATGAAAACTTGTCATTTGTTTTTACGTTGGATGTCCTTCCTGACACAACCACACTGAGCTCTGTGTGGAGCAGAGGGCTGCCATCTAACCTGGGGGAGCAGGTGGTGGGAATTAAGGACCTTGCTCAAGGGCCCAGGGTGGGGCGGATGAGGGTGGAGGCATGCTTCACCTTTTCACCCACATTTTGATGTTGTTGGTTCAGGGAGTTGAACCAGCAGCCTTCCTATCACAGGCTCGCCTTCTCTAACCTCTGCGCCACCACTCCCCTAAAAGCCCAAAGCAGCTAAATGCTAGTAACAGAAGTAGTGAAAAGTAGATAAATATACAGAACAAAGGCTATAAAAAGTAGACCAGACCTACTCATAACTGGTGTACTGAGAAATATTCTGTGACATTAGGCCCAGTTATGATGACAGTGGTCAAATGTTACTTTTTATAGAGGAACTAAAAAAATCAAATCAAATCACCAGAATAGTTAAGTTTGAATATTTACTTACAGTATTCAATAACAGCTGTCTTATTCTGTGACTGCATACATTTTACTTTAACTACATCAGTGTAAAAATAACCAAATGTCAACATAAACAACTTTGCTATAATATTATTAGTAATATGATTCTCCCACAGTACATGGTCAAAGTGATTATGAGAATCTGCAGTCATTTATCTGGATTTAACATTTTATGTGGCTTTCAACAGCTAAACTCCAATAAATGGCCATGTGTGCATGTGCACTGTTACTGTTATTTTATCATGTGAATGTTGATTTATGTAGATTTTTAGATTTAATAGACTTTTTTTTTTTATTTGACTGGCATTTGTTTGTCTCCCCCACCTTCATCTTCATCCAAGCCGTGGCTCATCGGACTGATGAAGTCTTTTGGATGAAAAACGAAACGTTTCAACAAAAAGAAACCGTCCAGAGGAGCTGACTTCTCTTTTGTTGGGTCTTCTTTGAGACCTTTAGAAACGCAACAGCGCCTCCTAAAGTATGGTGTTACAAGGCAAAACCCATAAAACCCAACGGAAGACACTAGAAATAAATAAAGAGAATCGGTATTTCAAGAATGTGAATGCTTAATAGCATCCTATGGTGATTCCTGCAGTTTCCTCTTCAAGAGTGCAAACGTGCATTAACCAGTGAAAAACCGTTAAGTCAACTGCTAGTTCGGCTTATGTTAATTTTGTGTTTCCTCCTCGACACAAGGCACCAAAAATATATGATAATAATAATAACAAAAACAGGTTTAAACAAACCTACCAAGTTATGTCCACATTTTGCAGTTATTTGTATATCGAGATTTGTTTCTGTCGTGTTCTCCTGCGTCTCCATCGCGAATTTGTATGAGAAACTAACGACTTCAACTTGTCCGTTTCAGTCGAGCGGAATCGCGTTTCCATGGCAACGGCGTTGAACTTCTTGGTGGATTCAAAGATCCTCGGAAATGTCATTGCCCTTACGCTAACTTTAAAATCATTTAAAACGCCTGTTTAAAAATAGAAATAATTATTTATTATTTCAGACAATGTGACTGACAAGTAATATATTTTATCATATTTTACAAGGGGTTAATTATTGTAAAACCTTTAGGACACAGCTTTTTTTAATGATCCTTGAACATCTATGTCCTTGAAGAGGCCGGTGCTCTGTGTGCTCCAGGACTGAGGGGGCGCTCTAGCCCAGAATAAGCACTTGTCTATGACCTGAAAGTCTTGCCTAACTGCTTCCTGCAGTCATATAAATGATATATTTACTTGTGTGAGATTAAAATACTTCCCCCGTGTTTGTCCTTTTTCGTTTAAAAAAAAATGTCGTACAACTACGTGGTAACTGCGCAGAAGCCTACGGCGGTAAACGCATGCATTACAGGTAAATACGCGCTGTTATCTGTTGTTGTAGAAGCTGCGTGCGAGCTGAACTCCCGCGCTGCAGCCAGAACGCTTCTCACGGGCCTTAGCATCAGCTAGCTGTGGATTTAGTTGTTCTCGTGTTTTCCTCCAAGCGTTAGGGTTACGGTTAGGTGGATACAGTCCATATGCTTTTATTTCCTGCTCCACCGTACATGTAATTAAACGAGCTTCGCGTTGGTTCTTTTGAATGCTAGATGTGAAACAGCGTTTCATCCTGCTCACACTTCACTTGTAGACATGTTTTTAAATGACTTGTTTCATTTGAACTATAAACTTCGACAGATTTGGTAGTCCAAGTTATGTGAAATATTTGAAAACTCTTTGCAAAACCCCTGAGTTATGCCTTGTCTTTAAGGTTTAATTATAGCATAAACGTCAAACTTTGAGCAACTTATGATAGCTTTCACTTTTGTTAATTGTTTTGTCCTTTTGACTGGGATTATCTGTTTTTGTGTACAGATTGCACATTTTTTTAGTAAATATCCTGTTGGCTGATTAGAAAAAGTTTGTTGGCAAGACTGCTTGCATAAAATGTTTTGGTAATGTGCAAAGGCAATGCAATAATAACAATAGTAATAATAGTAATGGTAAATATAAAACACACACATGTGGGATAGGAGTGGTTATAATTGTTATTTTTAATCAATATTATCAGGTAGTTCATTAACATCTTCTTTTCAAGGGAGACCTTGGAAAACCTTATTTCATCAAAGTTACAAGCCAAAACATAAATTTAGTACAAAAAAAAAAATTACAAACATAAAATGAATCAAGTTAGAACTAATGTAGTAAACGTACCAAGTCCAGCTTAAAAATAGCAGTTTTACTCCACAAGTTACAGATTTTATAAGATCACGAAACGCTCCCAAAGATACAAAAGCTTTAGTTTTGTTTGAAGATTTTCCATGACCACGGTGTAAAATAAGAGAACATTGTTCTATCAAATTCAGAAAACAATCTGAGGAACTCTAAAGTGAAGCCGCCTGGAGGTAGCAGCTCATAACAACATTCACACAGATTGGACGGAAGTGTACCCAGTGTAGCTTTGTACATAACACACCGATGCTGCTGTCTCCTTAGATTTGAAGAAGGCTAAGAAAACAGAATATGTATACAATAATTTAATTATGAAACATAATGGATATTGTCAATATTCACAAACATGAAACAGACAAATTTATAAAAACAAACAATGACCAAATACAACAGTAAAAAAAAATAAAAAAAAGAGCAAAACAAAAGGTATAACAATTCCCATCATCACTACCAAAATGTTGTTTGCTCATGTGGGTTCTTTTCCATGTTAAATCTCAACCACATGTAAACGCAATATTGTCAACATAATTAGTTAAATGGTAAATGAACTGTACTTTATATAGCTCCTTTCTATCTTATCAAGATACCCATTCAAACAGCACACTACTAGATCTAAACAAAGAATAATCGGTGCTTTTATCACATTCATACATCGATGGGACACGTCAGAGGCAATGAGGGGTTCAGTGTCTGGCCCAGGGACACTTCAGTATGTGACTGCTGGTGGAATTGAACCCTCAACTCTCCCATTGGAGAGCAACTGCTCTAACCACACAGCCACAGCTGCCCAGAGCTGCCAGTGATCAAAACTGGCCTGTTGAACTCCAGATTTTTAATAATTATTATTTTATGAAGAACGTTGTGGATGGAAGTGGAGCCAAAAACTTGAAAACAGACCTATCCTGATGCATGCTCAATAATCCAGGTAGAAAAATCCAAAAAAGTTAAATCTGGTCCTCTGGAAATTAAAAACAAAACAAAAAACAAAGCAAAAAAAAAAACACCATTTCCTTTCAAGAGCAATACTTTACTCTGGAGTGCTATGAAAGCATAACGTAGCATTTATACATGAAGTAAATACAAAATAATATTTGTTGTTATCAAATCTGTTTATGTGTCAGGTCTACTTATTATTAAACATTTAGGATTATTATGAGCGCTGAAGTATGATGTTTTTTTTAAATCATCTAATCGGGCGTAAGTCTGATGAGATTATCTTAGACATTTCTGTGGAATTAACTTGTGTAATATTTTTGTAATTAAGCTTTTATATTTTTGTAACTTAAAATAGCTTTTTGTAAATAAATAATTGGTAGATTTTGGTTTGAGAGCCTTTTTATTTAATTTTTTTTAACTGATCTTTTTTTTTTTTTTCCATTTACCCTTTATTTATCCAGGTAGTCTCATTGAGCCACGAGAACTCATTTTCAAGACAGACCTGTTTAAGGAGCAGATGGTGGGGGTTAAGGGCCTTGTTCATGGGCCCAGAGTGGGGCAAATGAGGGTGGGGGCAGGTGTGGGTGCTTCACCTACCCCACCCATATTTTTGATGTTGTCGGTACCGGGGCTTGAACCGGCGATCTTCCGATCACAGGCCCACCTTCTCTAACCTATGCGCCACCACTCCCCCCATAATCATCATAAGTTATTTGAGTAGGCTATATTTATAATGAATGCAGTATTTTAAATATTTGGTGTTTTTGAATCTTGACCTAAATATTTTACAAGGCATACTCAAAATTATACCACAAAAATTAGGGGTGCACCGATTTATCAGCCCCGATTTCCTTAATTTTGGGCGATCGTCCGGTACTTAGATGAGAAACCAATTTTACCGATTGTTTTGTAGTTTTAACAACAATTGTCTGACCTTCATTTATATTTCAGAGCACTACCTCATGGCCAGTTAAAACAAGTTTGTATTGTTTCTAGGATATTGTTCAATGGTTTGTTTTTCATTAAAATAAGAGACTGGAAAATTGAAGGTGCATTGTGACCTTATAACACCCGACAGTGTTGCTAGGCCTGTCGCAATAAACAATAAATCAATTAATCTCATGTTAAATGAAAACGATCATTTTCATTTATCGACTTTATCGTTTGCCTTTGTTCGTCTCTCTCTTTCTACTGAAGACACTGGATGACAAAAGGCTCAACTCCAGTGCTCTTCAATGACCCCGCCCTTTTTCGTTTCTCTTTAAAATCCATTTTAACCGTCGTCGTCTAAAAAGTTGTTTTTCTCTGCAAAAAGAAGCTGAGAACTTGTTCACTGATTTTTTTAATGAAAAGTTTTATCTGGAAAATGCTATGCTAAAGAGTTCAAATCACACGGAGCGTACGCCGCTTCGAGAACCAAAAACAAAGGAAGGAGTTGTCTCTCCTTCCTTTTTGTTATGTCAAGGGACCTCCCTCCCATTTTTCTTAAAGAGATACACTGCTCGCTCCCTCACTATCCATCCTTCGGTTCATCTAATCTGCCATCCGGTGGTTGAAAAAAGGTACTACACTCAAAACAAATTAACAAACATTTCTTCTTTAATTTGACAATAATTACTCATTATTGTGAAATTTCAACCAATATTATCGTTTATCGCAATAATTTCTGAGACAATTAATCGCCCAGCAAAATTTGTTATCGTGACAGGCCCAAGTGTTCCTTTATAAAACAAATTCGCTATCGGCCAAAATCGGAATCGGCAGGTCAGTCTTTTTAGAAATCGGTGATCGGCCAGAAAACTGCAGTCGGTGCACCCGTAACAAAAAATTAAACATTTGTCCAGTTCTTCTGCAGCAGACCCTCCACCACCTCAGTTTGTGTAATTTAACATGAGTATTGTTGTGTCTACAGGTCACTTTACTTCTGCTGAAGACCTCAATCTACTCATAGCCAAAAACACACGTTTGGAGATCTATGTGGTCACAGCGGAGGGACTGAGGCCTGTCAAGGAGGTCGGCATGTACGGCAAAATTGCTGTCATGGAGCTTTTCAGACCCAAGGTAGGTATTGTACATATGGCTGGTTTAAAAAATGCGAACTGTTTCATAATTCTGAGTAGGTGATGAGATGTTAAAGTGATAAGACACAATTCAACTATACGGTAGATTATGTGGCGCATGTTTTGTTTTTAAAGATTGCTTCATCTAATTTAACTCGTAGGATTTTTCCATATTTATAGACATTGCACAAAAAGGCACGTCGCAGTGTAACAGATTTTTTCGTTTAGTTTTGCCCCAAATCTTTTTAATGAAATGACACCCATTTCTTTTTTATATATATTTGTTTGTATACAGGGTGAGAGCAAGGACCTGCTGTTTATTCTCACATCCAAATACAATGCCTGCATCCTTGAATACAAGCAGAACGGTGAAAGCATCGACATCATCACACGTGCCCATGGCAATGTCCAGGTGGGGGAGGCAACAAAGAAAAACTACTTAATTAATTTATTTATTTTTAAAGTGGCATATTTTATCAATTTGCTTTTGTCAAGGCATTATGCTGTGGAGTTTTAAATCAATCTGAAGTTTCCAGTTTTTATTGTTGTCAGTCGAGCTGATGGAACATCTGAAGGGTGGGTTTGCTCGAAGGGTGTTATTCAACCTTTTCAAACCTGTTTTGCAGGATCGTATTGGGCGTCCATCTGAGACGGGGATTATTGGAATCGTTGACCCAGAGTGTCGCATGATTGGTTTGAGGCTGTACGATGGGCTGTTCAAGGTGATCCCATTGGACCGGGACAACCGCGAGCTCAAGGCTTTTAATATCAGGCTGGAGGAGCTGCAGGTCATCGATGTTCACTTCCTGTACGGCTGCCAGTCCCCGACAGTCTGCTTCATCTATCAGGTACTGAAGGAGTAGTAGGAGAAACGTAAGTGGAAGCAGTCAATATATAAAAAACATAAAATAAATGTGCAACTGTTGTGTAACACAGGACCCACAAGGCCGTCACGTAAAGACCTACGAGGTTTCCCTAAGGGAGAAAGAGTTCAACAAGGGCCCCTGGAAACAGGAGAATGTGGAAGCTGAAGCATCCATGGTTATCCCAGGTAAATAAATGATGAAACTGTTAAATAATTAATAAATTCAAGTGGGTTTTTTTTATTTTTATTTTTTTGATGAAAATAGTGGTGAAAAAACAATTAAAATGTTTAAAATAATTGCTTTAGCATGTAGGTTTGACCAAAACTAAACAACATCAGTTCATCAAAAAGAGCTGAACAGTAGGAAATAAAAACATGACATCAAATCATGTGCCTTGTTGCTTCTTTCTGTTCATATGATGTCAAGCTTCTTCATTAAAATGCCATCTAGCATCTTCCTTGCTGTAATAAGCAAACTTTTTTGTGACCAGTACACCAAAGACCTCTCTCTAATACAACTTTATATACTTAAAGAAATCTTTACAAATGTGTGAGTTAATTGTCTAATAGAAGTGGCTGGAGAGCGTCCTGTGGTCTAGACCACCTGGGAGATGAGAGAAGTGAACGTCCTGACTTTGTGCACTTGTGCTCCCCACTCTCTTGCTGGTAAATTGCTGTAGAGATTTGGCGTCTCTGCAGCTTCTCTCTCCAGCTCGTACGGGACACCGTTAAATGGCTACTGTTCCCCTGGCAGCCTCCATAAATACATCATAACTCCTTCCACGTCAGAGGCAGGGAACCTTCTTTCCATTATTTAGTGACTGAAATTTATAAGCAACAAAGATCAAGCAAAATTAAAGCTTTAAAGCAAAACTGTTTCTTTTCCCCCCAAGTCTTTTCTAAAGTAGATTGTTGTTTCCAAACAAAGCAACTCAAGTACAGAAGTGTCTCACTACTTCACGGTTCAACTTTCGTGAACTCGCTCTTTCGTGGTTTTCCAAAGTAAGATTGGACATGACAGTTGGCTGATTGATGGATGAGCCAGAAGATCGGCATGGATTTTTAAATTTAAAATGCATTTATTTTAAATTATTTAGCACCTGTGTGCAGCCCACATGTGCAGGGAGAAGCTTCCTCCTGCAGCGTGTCATGACCTCCGCTCTGCAGCGGAGAAGTGGCCGAGAGCCCTGGCAGGTGGCAGAGAGAGTTAAGTCATGTACTCTGGACGGTTTCTTTTTTTGTTTAAACATTTTGTCCTTCATCCAAAGGACTTCATCAGTCCAAGGAGCCACAACAAACTCAGGCTTATAAGTGGCTATAGCTGCCTCAGGGGAGTCGACTGGGGAGAGGGATGATTAAAGATTAAAAAAAAAAAAAAACATTCAGAGGACCTGACTTAACTTTGTTGGATTTTTTACTTGGATTATTGAGCATGAACGTTGATCTAATCAATTATTCCTGAGTCTTTGTTATATTGTGTATACCTGAAAGAATGAGCTTTTTATATTTTTGTATTGCTTACTGATAAAATTAATGATAACTGATGTATTTAATTTGAAAAGAAATGGTCCATGTTCAATGTACAAGTTGAAAATGGTCTTTTTTCCATTCTGCTTGTATTTTAGTGCCCGAGCCATTTGGTGGAGCTATAATCATAGGACAGGAGTCTATCACCTACCACAATGGAGACAAGTACCTGGCCATTGCACCACCCACTATTAAGGTAAAATCAAGCTGTTCCTTTTTCCATCCATCCATCCATTTTCTTTACCCGTTTATTCCATTTTTGGGTCACGGGGGTCGCTGGTGCCCATGTCCAGCAATCACTGTGCGAGGGGCGGGGTACACCCTGGACGGGTCGCAAGTCCATCACAGGGCCACATAGAGACAAACGAGACAAACAACCATTCACTCTCTCACTCACACCTAGGGACAATTTAGAGTTACCAATCAGCCTAACATGCATGTTTTTGGACTGTGGGAGGAAACCGGAGCACCCGGAGAAAACCCACGCATGCACGGAGAGAACATGCAAACTCCACCCAGAAGGCTCCTGGACCGGGGTTTGAACCAGGGACCTGCTCGCTGAGAGGCAGCAGCTCTACCAGTTGCGCCACCGTGCTGCCTTGTTCCTTTTTCCATTAAAGGTAATTTAACATTGTAGGTAATGTAGAAAAGAACTGCATAGTGTCTCCTAAAATACGAATCGTAAAAGCTATATGAATGTATAATGAGACTTTTTGAAGAAAGAGTAAAGTTTTTTCCTCCTGCAGTCCAAAGGTAAAGCTAATGAAGCAACATATTAGCCCAGCTACACTTTAAGCTAACAGGCCTTACCGTGGGTTCGTAATATAAATGTGATATGAATCATTACATCCCAACAAGTAAATGTATCTGAATTAAAAAAACAAGATGAAGTTACAAAGCTAAAATCAAGTCCTGGGCAGAGTTTATGCATTTTTCCTGTGCATCAAATCAGGTTTCTAACTTTTCTTTTAGATGAGTCATTAGGATCGGGCTGCAAATGTTTTTTTTTTTTTTTAAATTATTGCCCATCGCTGCAGGCAAAGTGCATTAATACTTTTGTTTGTGTTTGTGTTGTGTTGTGTTGGTAAAAAATAATCTCAGGAACCGTTGGATAAATTTGAATGAAACTCAAAAGATGATGATTGGATGTACATCAACAACTGATTAATATTTGGAGTCATCCTAATTAAGATGGTCCTCACATGTAATTAACTTTATAAAGCACTCACAAAAATGTCTCTAACTCTGCCATCTTTACAAGCATTGAGCTTAAATTTGATGTGGTAGTACCTGAGCATCAGCCCCAACAATACACTAAGGGTCACGCACTTTGCGGTATTTTTCTTTAAAACTGTTGCATTTTTATACATCCATTGCAGTGTTTCCCCTAGGTCACTTTACTTGGGAAGGTGCTCATCTCTTCGGGGTTTAGTACCGGCAGTTGTCGACAGGGAGGGGGGCGTTTGCAACAATTTCCTGAGGGATCAATAAAGTTCTATCTTATCGCGGAGTGCTACGCTCGTATTGCGCATGGTTTGGAGTCTGAGCTGAGCTGCTAATCTCCGCTCTCTGTCCGGAGGTGGTGGAGCAGAGTGGGGGGTGGGGGGTTTGGTAGGCGGGGCACCCTCCTTGGGTAATGGTGGGGAAAACACTGCAATGAAAGACGAACATATTAGGGCGTAGTCTCCGTCCGGACGTCTGTAAGCTTTCTCTTGTCCTGCCCATAACTTCTGATCCGCTCACAATAATCTAATGAAACTTTAGACACACGTGCATCATCATTCAACAGAGTGTAACATGCACTTTTCATCACCCCAGCTTTCAAGGTCACAAATCAAGGTCAAAGTTAACTGGGCTTTGCTTGTCTGGACCATAACTTCTGATCCGCTCAAGATAATTCAATGAAACGTGATATGTACATTTGTACCAGTACTAGAAAGTGTTGTGTAATCTTTTCATCACCCCAGCGCTAAGGTCAAGGTCAAATGTTATACAAGGTCTTTGCTTGTCCAGAGCATTGCTATTGCTGTATTGTTGAATAATAGTTTGTCGACTGTCATATAATGTGCCTTATGCTGTACTCTTGTTAATTATTTAACATTAGCCAGTTCAGGAATTGCTATAACTTCTTACTTAAGTTGGATTTACAGAAATTGAGATAACATTTGATGAGCGTCATCCCCAACACAAACTCTGAGCACTAGCACATCTTGTGAGATCTTGTATTGTATGAGATTACACATGCATCATTTACAAGGTTTTTCCAAAAGGTTGTAACTCACTTCTCATCATAAGATTATCCTGGATTAACATTTTGACATGAACAGCAGCAGGCTATATTTATTCCTTTAAGGAATAGTAGGTCTTTAATTTACATGCAGAAGAAGCTAGAAGCCTCTTTTAAAAAAGCACTATACAAATAAAATGTATTATAATATTATTATTATTATCATTATTATTATTATCAGAATAAAGTTTGTTCAAGTAAGACTGGTTTATTAAGCTTGTTGTGACAGAGGTGTGTAACTTGTTATAAAAGGATAGAATCAGTCTGTAGACTGTGAAGCTGTCTGTAGTATTTCATCATATTCAAGTATTTGTATCTTTCTGATGGAACTCAAGTGAATGTGTTCCCTGGTTCTGAATTTACAAAAGATATTGAGATTTATCTGGAGGCAGCTTTATTACCGTTAATAACTAAAGCTTCCCACAGTGCTTTTAGTGTTCTCCAGATTAACTTGCAGTCTGTAGTGCTTGGTACACATCCTCATTGCCCAGTGGAGCTCTTCAACAACCGCTTACTTCTATAATTAGAGGATGTTCTTTTTGTGCTCTGCAGTTCCAGAGTTTCATACATTTTATAAAGAACATTTAAATTCTTCTCATGTAGGAGTTAATTTTGAGTTAGGCAGCTGCTTCTCTTGTCTCTTGGGGTTTGAGCTTTTGGGTCTGCTGCTGAGTAACTTCTCAGTCTGAGTAAAAAAAAAGAGAAATTTGTGCCTCTTCAATGTTCATTCATGCCCTGCCAAACTCTCTCCAGCCTTAATCATCTGACATCTCTGCATCGCCCAGAAAATCCAATGACCTCGTGTAGATGACTTTATAGGAAGGTAATCTTAGGAGTTACTTGTTTGCTCTACCTTTTGGGACACTTGAATACTTGTTGTTGTCATTGTCCTTGCAAATGTATATAAAACCTTTCGTATCTGTTAGAGATGGGAATGTAGGCGTCTCATGATTCAATCTGATTATGATTTCATGAGCTGCAATGCAATTACAAAGCAATTATTGATGCATTTTCATTATCTGCAATTATCAGGTTTGTAACTAACATACTTGGAGGCAACTGACATGCTCATGTTTAATCCCATAAATAAACAGATTTATATATTTTTGCATAATAAAGAGTGCACAGTTACATCTGTCTAAAACCGTTATTCGCAGGCTGCTGACCAACAACAAACATAGATGTAAACGTAATATTGACGACAGCATAGAAAAAACACAATAAGCATCATGTCCGTTACTGATATTTATACATCAGTCAAACGTTTCAGTCGTTACTAAAGACAGTCATTTTATAAGTGCAGCTATTTACAGACAGTTTTGGAAGTTTCAGCAAAGAAAAACAGAAAAAGGTGAAAACATGTTTCATCTACAGCAGCTTTGGTAACTACAACATGGTATGGCAGCACGATGGATTAGTGATTAGCACTGTTGCCTCAGTGCAAGAAGGTTCTGGGTTCAATCCCCGGTTTGGACCTGGGGCCTTTCTGTGTGGAGTTTGCATGTTCTCCTTGTGTTTGTGTGGGTTTTCTCCAGGTTCTTCAGTTTCTTTCCACCGTGTGACAAATGTGTGCTAGGCTGCCTTCAGACCATGTCCTCCCTTGAAAAACACATCTGTGATCTCTGGCATTTCCTGGTTAAGTAAAGCTTAATAAAGAAATTAACTCTTCTAGGGCAAAGGACATCATACAGCAATGGCCGCAGACTCACAGTAGCAATCTTTCATCCCCAAGGTAGCAACACAGATTCCTGTTAACAAAATAGATTTTTGACATTTGAAAATTGATTGAAAATCTTCCATTTCAGTAATATGATGCATCTAAATGTAGATTAAAAGGTAGAAATGCACTGATACCACATTTTTTCACAGTACAAGTACAAGAATTATATTTGAGTAGTTACTGACATGAGTACTGATATTAATGAATGCCGTTATAATTCTTACAATGATGATTTACAATGATTTGTATGTTAAAAATGTATACTTTGAATACAAATGAGAAAAGAAAAGTTCATCAAAAAGTATTTGGATAAAGTCCATTATAATTGCCAGTTACCACCATGGTCATTTTCAGCACAACGGAGGCATAGTTCCTACCCAATAATATTGCGATGCAGTGAACTAGGTTTCTGTCTCATCTCTTTAAGCCATTCAGCTCATCGCAGTACGAGTGAAGAGGTGACAAATAGTCACTGTTTTGAAGCATTAGCATAGCACCTTCTTCGAAGAGAAGGGAATCAGTTGCTACTACTTATTAAGCAGCATGATAAGCATCTGCGGTAGCTGACGCTTAGCTGGGTCTGTCAGTGCTGTGCTCCTGTAATCCTAAAACTGTGTTCAAGCCCATATTGTGTCAGGAAGGGCATTAAGCGTAAAACAATTGCCAAACCTTTCATACGAGCTCACTTGCTGTGACCACCCAGGAGTAGAACAGCAACTGTTAAGCGTTTGTTTTTGCTCGCAGACCCAGGCTGCTTCATAGTCGCTGGGCGGCATATCTGCTCAACTTTCCCAGGTCAATAACTCCTTCACCGTTCTCATGCTTTTGTCCTTTTTCACCTAATGATGATGATAGAGGCCAGAGCCTTCATCCTCTTGCCAGGGACTTATTGCTGAGATTGTTTGGAAGCTCAGCCTTAGATCCCAGATCCCTCTGATGCTCAGTCGATCACTTTGAAATACCTCAACATAGATTCTTCTTCATCTCGTGGTGTTTATTAATTCAATTTCAGTTCAGTTTATTTCTATAGCGCCAAGTCACAACAGAAGTCATCTCAGGGCACTGAACAGAAACATTCATATATATAATAATTTAACATTAATTATCTGAGGAGCAGACTGCTTTGAATTTAACTTCATCACAGAACTGTCATCTTCAGCAAGCATGAAGGCGACAGTGGAAAGGAAAA